TGCAGCTCTGCGTCTGTTTCCATCTCTGTTCCTTTCTCTTTCTCCATCTTGTTGTCACTGCCACGTGTAATCGATACTTGCTGACAGTTGGATATGAGCTGGGGATCTGGGGATTTAAAACTCCCTCAATCACAGCTTCACTAATGCAGACATAAGACTCTGAAGGGTGGTGCGTATGTAAAATGAAAACACATACAAGATGCAAATCCCACTGAGACGTATTATAGTTTGCCACATAAAAAATCATCTATATGAATCAGAGACCACCATGGAAGTCTGGTAAGATCGCCACAGCACATGTCTGCTGTCATTACCCACCGACCCACCGGCACTGTCTGACAGGGCTTTCCTTTCATGGGGTCACAAACGATACCGTCTGTGATCCCACCATCATGCTGCTATCGTGCCACCAGTCAGGATGAGGCAGGTCAAAGTTGAGCTGCCTGGGTGGGCGCTAAATGGGCAGTATTGTGACCGACGTACATTAGATATCTGGCAAATATCTTGTGGGTAGTGGAGTGTGGAGGGGGTGTTACTATGCATGATGTACTGTATGTAACAAACTGTCAGGGGTGACGGAGAAGTTCCATTATCCGTGGTCCTGTTGATACTCCTGATGGTTCGTGGCACCAGTAAGAAATACTGATCCCTCAACACCTGTTGTTATTCAGATTTTCTCAGGTTTTATCTTTATTTTTGAGTTTTCTCCACTTGTTTCTAGGGATGAGCGAGTACACCACTATCTGTATCTGTACCTGTACTCGGAATGGGCGTGGCATAACCTGGAAGTGGGCGTGATTCAACCGGAAGTGGGTGTGGTTTACATCAATATATTATTTTAAGTCTGAAATTGATATGGATTGATCAGAAGTTGCTGTGTATTGTTTATTTGAAAACTATTTGCAGAGCAATCTAAGAATTGAGATTAAATATTTTTGATCACAATAGTAAAGAAACTATTACAGAACAAGTGTTTCAATAAAATCAGAACATTAATATTTAAGTACATGGATTAATACATCTGAACTCATGCAGTAGGAACTAGGAAATATGAAATGCTAGAACCAGACACAACTTTATATATATATATATATATATATATATATATATATATATATATATAATTTTAATTTGATTAAACAGGTTTTTTTCTTAAAGTTCTTGGCATTTTCCCACACAAAGTTAAACAAAATAATGTTGATTGAGGTGTGTGTGTGTCTGAGAGAGATAGAGAAGGTGAGAGGGAGAGAGATGGAGTAAAAAAAAATAAAAAACCCGACCGGAGCGGAGGTGACTGATGCAGCACGTCAGCTCTGTTTTGTCAAATGCACCAGGTAAGTTACAAAAAAAGTAACTTTAAATATTCAACCGAAAAAGAGGCGAGCTGAGAAAACCTAGGGAAAACTGAAGAAACGTGAGCAACATTGAAGCCATCACAGCGAGATCCGTTACTGTCTGTGTGTGTGCGTGGATGAGCCGGACGGACTGCGATCCCAGCCGGTGTCGGTACAAGATCTGCTCGGGTGCAAGATCGGCTCGGGGTCCGTCGACTGCCGGTGACGTCAAAGTAGTTGATTGGCTGAACATGAACCTTACGGAATGACGTAATCACATTACGTTGTTATCACGTTACATTGGTCCAGACAAATCTTTCTGTTGGAAAGATGGACAACTTTTACAAAGAAATCCATCATTACCTCTTTGAAAATACACTTTTAGCATAGAGCTGCATGTATATTAGGGCTGAACGATTAACTGCATGTGCAACTAAATTGCGATGTGACAAAAGGAGATTTTCTAATCGCAAAGGCTGCAATTTGGCAGCGAGTGGTTAGCGCAATGCTAATATACGTGGAAAAACCCATAGGAATGCTAATGCTAATTTCACCGATTACATTATTACAAATTATGAATTAGAAACGTGCCAAATGATTACATTTGGAGTCTAATAGAAAGTAAAACTACCATCATCAATCAAATAAGTACAGACAGGTATTTTAGTAAAGCCAGAAAACTTTTAACTCCAGAGTTTTGGCTAGCAGCTATGAGTGTAACTGAACTACGCATGGACAAGACGTCAAAAACTCTAAACACAAAATACTTCAATAAACGGGACACGCTTCTTTCCTGCAAATACAATTTCACAGGTGTTGCTAATACCTATGATCCTTCAAGGGATGTGCTCAAAGAGGAGTTCAACATTATGAATAAAATAGTGTTTTATTTTACAAATACCATTATAAACACAAACTTACTTCTTAAGAAACATTATTTTAATAATGAAACTGCTAAATTCTTTCCAACAGTATAGATGTGTAGTGTATTTTGTCCGAGTGGGTTTGCCGTACTTTGACGTCATCGGCAGTCGAAGGACACCGAGCCGATCTTGCACCCGAGCAGATCCTGTACCGACACCGGCTAGAGAGTTTTGTGTGTAGGGAGGGGCGGGCGCTCTATGTGACTGGCCAATCACAGAGCGTGAAGACAGTCAGTTACCCAATGAGGATTTTCCTTCAGCACGATTACAGATGTTTACGAGTTTTACTCGTGTCATGCTCGTACTCGTCAAAAATGCTTTATCCGTACCGGATACTCATCTGAAACGAGTATCCGGCTCATCCCTACTTGTTTCAGTCTCAATACCTTTGATTAGAATTGGAATAGGGTTGTCAGAACGTAACCATCCAGTGAAAATAAACAACTAAGTGGGTTTTTTGTGTTCCATATTAATTTACATGATTGGGTGAATAAAATCCCGGACCCTCCAGCGAGTCTGTGTCCAAGAATTTGTCGATTTCAGAAAAAATTCTATTTAATAAATGTTTCTCCATTTTAAATTTAGAAATATTTTATTAATCCACAGCTGGAGTGTCTCAAGATGCAAGAGAAAGAACGTTACTGTAACGATGAATTTGTGGGAAGAGGCTTTTATTGTAGTCTATTGTCTAAAGTTACAGTGATTTATCCGCTAGTTCTTCCAGAGAAGGATTTTTACCGTAAAAACAAGCGAAATGCCACCTAGGGCAAAGACGAGGAGAATTCCATGCTTCGACCCAAGTGAATTTACAGCTTCCTGAGCAACAAGGCACCTATGCTGCTGGACGCTAAAACCACGGCTCTGCTGGGTGGGTGAGCAGCTTATTGATCATTGTATGTTGACTCTGCAGTAGTCTTTGACCTTTTAATGGTAAAACTTTCAACTCCAGGCTTACCAGAGTTGACCTTTCACCACCAAGGGCCCACAGACACATGAGGAAGTAGCTCCCGGTGGTTTGTTCAAGTGTGACTGTGACTTATATGATGCTGCAGCACCAAGCTCCATTGGCTCAGAGCGAAGGCAGTTTGTGATCTGTAACTTTTTAGGTCTTTTAGCCTCCATCTATAAGTCATGATGTAAAAACAAACTGGTGAATTTGTCTGACTGGGCAGGTTTTATGGCTCCGATCCAGACAAAACAAAATCATCCAACATTATGAGCAAAAACAAAATGCATGACCTCTCAGGGCTCACTGATTAGATTTCTCAAATGATGGAAAAATGAAAAGGGGACATATTATGGGCTTTAGACTAAAGCAGACCTCAATTATTCTGTACATAACAGCAGAGAGTTGATTTTGCAGAGTGCTGTTGCTCAGTCATGGGACTAGGTGTTTATATACGTCTGAGAGCTTTCTAAACTTTCTCAATGTTGTTTTAGTTTTTTAATCCAAAATGTTCAAGCCAACTGTTATCTGATTGAAGCACTATTAGTGGTCAGCTGATGTAAAAACCAGACCAAACAAACTGTGTTGGTGTTCATGATCATGCAGGAAACGTGCTGGAACCAGACTGCAGCGCCAGGTATGTCAGGTATGTCAGCTCCCAACAGAGCGGCCCGCCAGTCTGAAGTTACAAGTGGAAAATTCTGACCACAGGGGGCGATAGGAGCTGGGTGGTCTTTAATTAACCCTTTAACGGGTCATTTTTGCTGGCTCAAGAAAATGATTTAAAAATGTGAATTATCCCTTTAATAAATTATTAACAAACCCCCTGATTAGTTTAAAACATTTTAACTTTTTCAAATTATTCTATTCTGTTTCTTATAAGTATTTATTTTAGTAGTTATTAGTAAATTAGAGCTTCACAAGTATCGTAAAATGAAGTATGTCTCATAACTGGTGCATGTCTAATGGTGATAATGAGCTGCTGTGACCATAAAATTGATCAAAACTGAAAATAAATAGCACACTTGATAAATTTTTACACCTGAACTGTTCGCCAGTCAGTCACACACCGTCGTGGAGGATGGCTGCTTATACTGAGCCAGGATCCTCTGGAGGTTTCTTCCTGTTAAAAGGGTGTTTTCCTCTCCACTGTCACTAAATGCTTGCTTAGTATGAGGATTGCTGTAAAGTCACTGACACTAGTCAGTGACTTGATGCAATTTGCTGGGTTCCTTATATAGGAAACATTTTTTCTGATTGGCTTAATGCATTGACGTGGGCGAGGAGTTAAGTGCTCGCCCTGTAATCGGAAGGTTGCAGGTTCGAGCCCCGCTCAGTCTGTCGCTGTTGTGTGTCCTTGGGCAAGACACTTGACCCACGTTGCCTGCTGGTGGTGGTCGGAGGGACCGGTGGCGCCAGTGCTCGACAGCCTCGCCTCTGTCAGTGTGCCCCAGGGCAGCTGTGGCTACATTGTAGTTCATCCCCACCAGCGTGTGAATGGGTGTGTGAATGGGTGAATGACTGATTGTGTTGTAAAGGGCCTTGGGGGGTTCCAGGACTCTAGAAGGCGCTATATCAAATACAGGACATTTACCATTTGACCTGGATTGGAATGTTTATTATGTGAAGTGCCATGAGATGACTCTTGTCGTGATTTGGTGCTATATAAATAAAATTGAACTCAATTGAATTGAATTGAATTGAATTGAATTGAACTCAATTGAATTGAATTGAATTGAATTTTAACTTGACAATTCTTGTACTTGCAGGTAGGAAAGTGACAAGTTAGTGACTTACTGTGGCAGACAGAGTCGCTGTTGGGCGTGCACTCAGCAATCAGTGTCTCATCCATTTCTTCATCACAGATGGTGCAGGGTAAGCAGGGCTCAAGGGAGCTTTCCCGGTCTGAGTAGGTCTCATCCACACACTCCTCACACACTGTGTCATGATGATGGTCGCAGTGAGAGTACACGCCTTGCCCTACTGGGCACACAGTGCACAGCTCACACTGTCCAGAGAGCGTATTGTAATAGTAGTTGTAGTTGCAGACACATTTTGCGTCGATGGAGTCGGTGCACGGCGTCTCCATTCTCATCAAGCCGGTACACTGAGTGCAGGGCTTGCACTTCTCCGTGTGACTGTCGTTCTCGGAGAAGGTCTCGCCTGCAGATCAGAGCACAGGACGACGAAGAGAAGAGTAAGGAAGTTTAGGAGAAAAACACGAGAAAATATGAGAAGCGAATAAAAGGAGATAAATGTTGAGTCTAATGACATTAATCATGTTTACTGCAGGCTCATTAGACAGAAGAACACATTCATCCACAGTGTTCTTGGTGATTTGTGCTTCAGGGACAAGAAAGGTGCTCTTGGAGAGCGAGTCAAAAGCTTGCTGCTCATTATGATATCGATCCCGATGTGTTTGTGCTGCGCTGAGCAAACGTTAACAATCTCAGCCATGTGCAGCGTCCGCATAAACATGGTGAACATCTGAAAAGCCCCTGGAGGTTTTTAGTTCTGGAACATTCGTCAAACTAACTAAAGGTAAAATCAAATGTTTAAATAATTGCCATGAAATATCACAGAACTGTGAGAATTACATTAATTAATATCGGTCAACTGTTTCTGCTTGAAGTAAGTGTGTTTTAATATATAAGTATAAGTATATATGTCGATGGTTTTAAAGCAATTCTTAACGGTTGTTTATTCGGCTTGAATCTGACTGTTTTAAGGGCAAAAAACGTTATACAGAAATCATTCTCAGGCTCTGCTCACATAAAGAAAAACCTATATGGAGAGGCAATCTTAAGATGATCTTGGTTGAGTAGCAGTAGATCAGATGGTTGTGGGATCGACCCTGGTTCTCAGCAGAGAATGCTGCTGTTGTGTCCTTAGGCAAGGCACCTAACCCGCCTTGCCTGCTGGTGGTGGTCGGAGGGACCGGTAGCACCAGCGCTCGGCAGCCTCTCCTCTGTCAGTGTGACCCAGCGCAGCTGTGTGTAGCTCATCACAACCAGGGTGTGAATGTGTGGGTGAGGATCGTGATGTAAAGCACCTTGGGGGGTTCTAGGGCTCCAGAAGGTGCTAGAACTACAGGCCATTAAACGTTTCCTAAAAATGTCCCCAAAGTCAGAGCGGTGTGTGTGTGTGTGTGTGTGTGTGTGTGTGTGTGTGTGTGTGTGCGTGCGTGCGTGTGTGTGTGTGTGTGTGTGCGCGTGCGTGAGTGTGTGTGTGTGTGTGTGTGTGTGTGTGTGTGTGTGTGTGTGTGTGTGCGCGCGCGTGCGTGAGTGTGTGTGTGTCTGTGCGTGCATGTGTGCATGCGTGTGTGTGTGAGCATGCACGTGCATGAGTGCGTGTGTGTGTGCATGTGTGCGTGTGTGTGTGTATGTAAGTGCGTGTGTGCATGCACGTGCATGAGTGCGTGTGTGTGTGCATGTGTGTGTGTGTGTGTGTATGTAAGTGCGTGTGTGCGTGCGTGTGTGTGATTCAATCCTAATTCAGATTTTCACACGTCAATATTTACCTATAAATATAAGTTTAAAAAAATCTGGGGTTTTTCAGTAAAAATGAAGCTGATTAAAAAATTCAACCATTGACTGTGTTTTTTCTTCTGCTTTGGTTTGGAAATAACAAGCCAAACAACATACGCTGGTAATAAATTACACTCTCCTTATTAATCAGATATATAGTAACTGCAAAAAAATCAACACACCTCCAAGAAATTAGTTCTGAAACACAGCATCATCACATTTCACTGACCTGTGAGAAATAAATCAAGTAGATCATAGCTGAAATGTGTTGAGCAGAATGAGATAGAAGTCGTCAGTCACTAAATGTCTGCTGATTACTTCAAACGATTCAGATTTGCTCTCCAGAAACATTTCAGATCTGAAGGATTTAGACTTCATCACAGCGGAGGTGTTGACCTCAAATGGTCTTATTCTTACATCAAGAGTTCCTTGGAGCACAGCAGGTTCTATTAATATTGCATGTTCATATAGAATTATTTTCAGATATAATTGGATGGCTCATGAATTATGCATACGGCCAGAAGGAGAGTGTTTGTGTGCCACATGAGTGTGTTTTAGTGGATAAGATGCGAGTAGAGAGCCCAATGGTTGAAAATAATACAAGCTCAGATTCATTACGCAGGCTGCATCCCCGCGCTCAGGTTCCCTGTTTTCCTTTTGGAGACATGCTCAACGTGAGAGCAGTCACTTTGCAAAACTTCAGAGACAAACATTACAAAATGTGAATGTTGGATCCTTGATGCACAACACTTTGGGATTCGCCAAAGTGCAGCCGGACAGTGGCGGCTCCAGAAATGTTTTTCTGCAGGTGCTGTGAAGGAGCTAGCCTTTTTATTGAGGGTGCTATGAAGGAAGTGGTCATGCGTGCCTATTGTGCTCTAAAACACCTTCAACACTAGCAGATACACATGCGTGCACAACACCTCAACAACACCTGAAACTAGGGCTGCAACAAACGATTATTTGGATAATCGATTAATCGGATGGGGTCTCGACACGATTAATCGATTAATCGGATTACATGGGGAAATTTTTAAAAACTAATCAAAATTGATCACTATTTCCAAAAATGACTGAAAAAATACCAAATAAAACAAAAGTAAATGAATGCCATCCTCCTTGTGATGATGCACTGGGCAACTGCCATAAAGTCACATCAAGAAATGCTGCTGATCATTCCAATGATCCCAAATAGACTCACATTAGGCCACATGAAAGCAACTGAACCCAAAAATATATTAACCAGTATATAACTGCACTCTCACACAACACGCCTGCAGCAACAGTTAGGACTCCTCCCTCCCTTTTAAAAGCGTTTTTGCTTCTGAGGACATTGTGGTTGTAAAACCACATGCTAGTAGTCTGGCCCCGGTGTGATCAACCAGTTTCTGCGGGAATGTGACGGCGGAACCAGGGCCAGATTAACACTTTGTTGTACCCTGGGCAACAATATTCAAGGGCTCCATCTAGGGCTGCAACAAACGATTATTTGGATAATCGATTAATCGGATGGGGTCTCGACACAATTAATCGATTAATCGGATTACATGGGGAAATTTTTAAAAACTGCTAGGGAAACGTTATTTCTCTCCTTCCTTCACTTTATTTAACACAACATTATTAGAAAACAGTTCAATAGCAGAAAAATAACATGCCATCACCTAAATTGTCTTATAAGGTGTATAGACAGAGACCCTAAGCTACATCTATCTGTGACCTAAAATGCTTGGTCCAAGTTAAACAGCTTAAGGGCAATTCTCATCTGTTTTGTTTGATCTCATCTGTTGACATTTATTTTAAATGTAATTAAACATAGGCTGTGAATTTATCAAAATTGATCACTATTTCCAAAAATGACTGAAAAAATACCAAATAAAACAAAAGTAAATGAATGCCATCCTCCTTGCGATGATGCCCTGGGCAACTGCCATAAAGTCACATCAAGAAATGCTGCTGATCATTCCAATGATCCCAAACAGACTCACATTAGGCCACATGAAAGCAACTGAACCCAAAAATATATTAACCAGTATATAACTGCACTCTCACACAACACGCCTGCAGCAACAGTTAGGACTCCTCCCTCCCTTTTAAAAGCGTTTTTGCTTCTGAGGACATTGTGGTTGTAAAACCACATGCTAGTAGTCTGGCCCCGGTGTGATCAACCAGTTTCTGCGGGAATGTGACGGCGGAACCAGGGCCAGATTAACACTTTGTTGTACCCTGGGACACAATATTCAAGGGCTCCATCATCACGACCCGAGGATCACCATAATGTGGTCACATACAGAATATTTTACTGTAATATGCAGTAAATATACTCAATACTTGAATGCCTGACAACACGTAACCCGCCCAGAGTAACCTTTGACCCACCTCGTGTGGACTGACCAATGAGGAGAGGGTCTTAACTTGAGGCCCTCTCTTCATTGGTCAGTCTGCATGAGACTGACTCTCAACTGACGTTCAGTCGTAGGCAGCGAAGCGTCTCTGTGCAGTGCAAAAGCCCGGGTGGACAGTTTGTTTAATGTAGGGTGACCATATTTCCATTTCCAAACAAGAGGACAGAGGATCTGTGCCTATGACGTCACACTATGGCAACGCCACACAAACCATGTTGGGACCCATTTTTTGTAAGAACTAAATTAATATCAGATTCTGCCAATTAAAGGGCTCTAAAACAATTCATATGTAAATATTTTGCATATTTAATGCAAAATCTAATTTTTCTGCTTTAGTGCTGCAACAAGGTTTTATTAATAATAAATTATTATACCTTTTGTTTTACTACAGCATCGGTAAGCTTCCTGTGCACAGATTATTAAGGATGCTTGTTTCAACTGTGAGATTAGACGATAGGATCAATGAAAAAATAAGTTGTCACAAACTCCATGGAAACTTTCAGAGAATCCACAAATAGTGGCTTTCAAATGGTTTTGTTACTTTTTGCAAGTTTATAAAATAAGCAGATGAGACATCATGTCTGATAATTTAGTTTTTCATCTGATAATATTAGAGCATGTCAGTAATGTCTGAGGGGCTTTTATAAACACCATATAACTAACACTACTGGAGAGGGCATGAATTACACAGAGGCTTCTGGGGAGCCCAGTTATTGGGGGGGGGGGGGGGGGGGGGGGCATTTTGCCTTGGCCCCCAAAATGTCTTGAAACGGCCCTGGGTGTGTGACTGAGTTTTGAAGGTGATCTGAATTGTATCAGATGTATAAATATGACATGTGTATAACTTATTGTTTTTTACTGGTAAAAACGTGTAGTGGAGATAAATCTACCTACATTTTACTTTTCAACACTTTGTTTTGTTTTCTTGTTTTTATTGAACTATTTTCCTGTCCTGTCTGTCTCTCATCTTCCTGCATCTCCTCTTAATTCTCCAGAAAATCTGTTGCCTGGATTCTTACCTTTTCACCTCATCAGTTACTTTTGAGCAGGTCAAAGGGATCTCCTGACCGAAAAGCGCAGAGCGCGTTTTCGATGCTGCGTGAGGTGAAATCACCACAGCACAGGTGATGAGCTCCGCAGTAGCGCGCTTCAGGCACAAATAAGACAGAAAATAGAGAACATGTGCGGACATGAACGATCGTGTGCTAATTATAGTTTTTTGGTTGCGCCACTT